TCGATAAAAATGAAGTTCAGGGCCTATTTTTTTGCGATATCTCAGAATAGCTTCTCGCACCTTCCGACGGGTTTTCTCAGAGCCGCTCACATATATATAGAGTCCGTTTTTGAACAATTCCCTCATCTGTTCTTTGTGAGATATGACGGCATTCTTGCTCGCTCGCCGTATGCTGCTATTCAGCAACAGCAGCAACAGAAATACTTGTGTGTGTTTTCAACTCTTTAAGGACGTAGCTGACATAGTAGATGTCCAATCAGCAGAGGGCCAAAGACAATGTTGCAGCTCATTTCCAACCGACATACACAAATCAGAAACACAAATTTGAATTTTTCTCATTATGCGTGTTCTTGCATGCTTTTTTAAGTTTCAATTAAAGGAAGCTTAACTGAAAAATCTGTGGGAAAAATGAAGTTATGCTCTTTCGTTTTTAACTCACTTGCGACTGGGCCCTTTCACCAGCCACAAGCGTTGAAGACTGGCGTTTTGGGGGGTATTTCAATAAATCACCACAACTCTCAGAATTACCCTAATCATTTTTTGACACAGTAAAGTAACATTCAAGCTTAATCTAATACAAAAAACTAAAATTGTCTAAGTCTAATACTTTAATTTGTATGATTTTTTAAAAATTGGCATGAATTTGATTTTCGAAAAATTTCCAGAGACGTGACAAGTAGAATGAAATTCACTGCAACAACAAAAATAAAAGTTCAAAGTGTTCTGGTTTGATTTGTATACATGTGCAAGTGTTTGGTGATAATATAAAAGCTGGTCTGTGCATTGATTCAGACCCATACACTGAATTACATGAGACAGATGTACGGCACGACGTTGTGATTTCGTTGCGCGAAAAACAACACCGGTACTAGTGCTAGATCTAGCCCTAGAACTACGACTCAGGCCGTGTTCGGGTACATATCCAGGATCCTAACTATTAGACACATCATATTCTGAGACACTAGAACTAGTAAAACGCACAGAAGTATAGAAAACGGCGAAATTATGTGATTCTTGTTCATGCGACTTCTTCGACCGTTACTACGACGCGACTGTCGGATTACTATGAGCTGTATAGAAAAAAACAAAGCGCGAGTTCTGGTCTGTTCAACCCCAGTTGGGGTCACTGTCCTTCACCTTCAATAACTTAAAAACTACCGGCCCCAGAGATACGAAACGAAGTCTAAGTAGCTCAGGCTTGGCCAAACAAGGGTACGAGGCGGGTCTCGCGATCCGTGCGTGATTTGTAGAGCGAAAAAAAAATTCCAAAGTTGGTCACGCAGGGCTTGTGAGACCCGACGCGAGCGTCATGGCGGGGGTCACGCAACTGTTGTGTGACCCGTCTGAAGTGAGTTAAAGTACCCTAAAGCAGTGCATTTTCAAGCGTGCAAAATGTGCATCCTTAATGAGATAACATCCACAATTTTTGTCTTCTCTCACAGCAAAGATGTGATCTGTCGCTGGACGCTTCCCTATGTGCCGGATATCTATGGCAGCGGTTCTGGAGAGAGGGTGAAGTACGGTCCACACAACGTCTACTGCAGTAAAGACGTGACCTTAGCTAGGTGAGTAGTGTCCTTGACCCTTGCTCGCTTTCTTTTTTGAACAGAGTGGCCAAGTTAGTGGATTTTAAACGAAGAATAATTGTTTTATATATTGGCTATTCCACTGTAACTAATGGGATATTTGATATTTGGACTATATATTACTTCTTTTTTTCTGTCAGTTACCGAAACTAAACACGTCACAGGATTTGCATAAAGTACGTTTTTCAAATGACTGCATTTAACATGATTCTCAATATGTCTTTGAAAATGTTCTGATCTTCTAAAGTTGAAATAAATTAACTGATATTGAATAGCAGTGTTATCATTGTAAAAAAAAGTATACTCCCATCAGTTAGCATGGAATAACCTGTATCGATTCTGGAGCTTGTATCTCTTTACCATGATGATGTTGCCCTCATGTTAGCTGAGAAGTAGAATGAATGTACCGTTATTTCTGCTGCAATGCATCGGTTTGTTTTCTTTTCTTTTTCATCCTCTGTTGCCGTTAAGCGTCGAGGGGAGATGCAGTTTTCTATGGTAGGCCAGCTCCGCAGCTCTTTCAGTTGTGATGTTATGTTTTCTTAGGGTTTCCTTGACACCCTCGATCCACCTTTTGCGTGGCCTTCCTCTTCCTTTATAGCCTGAGTGCTTGGTGTTGTAGGCTCTCTAGGCTGGCTGGTCAGGTGACATGCGTAACAGGTGGCCAAACCATTTTATCCATGCTTTGGTAAATGACAGAAAAAGAATTGTTTAGTCCTTTCTTTAATACTAGATTTTTGGGTTTTTTTTCCTGATTTGATGTCTTTTTTGATAGCCAATTTTGATATAATGAACTGCATCTGGGAAGAAAGGCATCAGTAAGAATTTATTGGGATGAAATGAGATGTTGTGAAGCTAATCTGTGATTTGATTTGTCTGTTTTCTCCACAGAGGCTGTGAGCTGAAGAGGGACGTTGTTGTGGGCAGTGGGACGCGGGTTGGCAGTGGCACCGACATTTCACGCTGCGTCATCGGCAAAAACTGTCACATAGGTAAGGAGGTGTGGATTTATGGCGGTGTTTGCATATGTAGACTCGTTCTGTTTGTTTGTCTTTGATATTTTATTAAATTGTGTATGTGTGATGGGGAATAAACCTATTTCAGTGTGGTAGAGCTCTAATTTCTATCAAAAGGTAAAAGAACAAAAGCAGAAGTAAGTAATTCTTGTAGTGCCACACACACACATAAATGCACACACACACACACACATAAACACACACGCATACACTCACATGCATATAGGCCTACACACACACACACACACACACACGTACACAAACTCACACACACGTACACTCAAACTGCATCCCACCCACCCCCCAAAATAATCACATGGGTGGTTGACGGATGCTTCATTGTTGTTCACTCCTTCCTTCTTATCAAACATGTGTCATCCGTTACCTCTCCTCCTTCTTTTCTTTGTACATTACTCTCTTGCTACCACTTCTAAACTTCAGCACGTAAATGACCTATTGGTGTTGCAAAAAGTTATGAAAACTATAAACAAGGAACTTGTTGCAAATGCCGTTAAAGTTACGAAAACCTATGCAAAAGGAACTTGTTGCAAATGCCATTAAAAAGAATAGATTACTAAATCTTTTTTTTTAAAAAAGAATGAAGAAATAATTGTCTGCGTCTGTACGTCCAGGTGACAACGTGACGTTACATAACAGCTACCTGTGGGACAACGTGCGAGTGGAGGACAACTGTGAGGTGGACACTGCCCTCCTGTGCTCTGGCGTCTCCGTCCTGTCCAACGTGGTGCTCAAGAGAGGCGTCATCCTGGCCTGGAATGTAAGCCGTTGCCTCCTTCTGACAAATAATTATAATGATAATAACAATGATTATAGTAATAATGAAAATGATAGAAAGAGTATTGACATTATTTTTTTTAATTTTTAAATAAATTTGGGCGAGAGGGCAGTTTTCTCAAGCCTAAGACCTCTCAAGTCTTATGCTTTTTACAAAATTTTTAACGAGTGATGTTCTAGTTCTAGCCCAGGGTTGGTGATTTTTTACATTTTTTTAGCCTGGGTGCAGAATCTTTGGAAGGTTTTTTTCTTTCTGTCGTTTGTTTTAGTCTTCAGTTCCTTTTCTTTTTCTCTTTTGTTTTTTTATCAATTTTCCCTGTTTGCTTTCTTGTCCTTGTGCTTTCTTTACTGAAACTTTACTATATATAAATGTTGGATGGTGTTCTCGAATGCTTGAACTGACGTTCATATCATTATTGTTGACCTTTTGGTGCAGGTGGTCGTGGGACCGAATGTCACGATTGCTCAAGGGACGCAACTGATGAGCGAGCCTCAGAGGGACGAGTTTGACGACAATGACCTTTCATTTGGTGACGATGACGCACAACAGCTGCAGTCGGTCAAGGAAAAGCAGGGAGAGAATGAAGGTATGGGTATGGAGCCGGCGAAAAGATCAAAAGTTCTTTAGCTCTTTATCTCCGAGGGTAAACCCACTATGTGGGGACCCTCTTTTGATATTAAATCTAAAAGCGACTTTTACATCACTAAATTGGTCTTTATTATTCAAAACAAGTGAACGTAATTTGATAGTTTTTCGTTTAAAAGAAAACTGTTTTGCCCCTGAAGTCGTTGCAAAGGGATGTGCCTGAGCTGCTGCCTGTGGCTCACCGGCGCGTAGGTTCCAACTGGGAACGGCTTACCAGAGACAAGGAGTTAATGGAAGTTTAGACGAGGCACACTTACTGTGCGACATGTTGGTGAGGGTTTTCCAGTCTGGTAATGAAGTAGATGGTATTTCAATCCTTTGATTGTGATTTCAATTTATCGTTTCTTCAAGTAGAGATCCCACTTATTTTTTCCTACAAATTTCTGCTTTGCAATAGACAGACCAAAGTATTTCAATATTAAAATGTGTGTGTGTAAAGGCTACAATACATATATTAGCTAAGGTGTCAAAGTACTGAGATGTAAAGTAAAGTGAACGTGAATTTAGAGGAGTCATTTATGTTAAATTGCTTTCTCCAAACTTTTATGCCTGAAGCTTTAGGGATATTGGTGGCACTTTTAAGGTGGGAAAATGCTCAAATCTGTCCACAGAGGGCTGGGTAGAGAGGGATAAAATTTTGGCTCACCTGTTACAGACACTTCCAGAACACACTCCGATTGTTGAGGTTTGGTAGTTTTTAATTGTGTGTGTAGGGCTGCTTTGATCTTTTCCTTCTCTCACAACAAACTCTGTGCTCAGTTGGGGACCATTGAAAGGGTACAACAAATTTAGCGATTGTCACCTGCCACAGACAGTCGGTGGGCACTCTGATGTAGGTTGCTTCTTCTATTTCTTTCCTGTATCATTGCCATATTATTTTTCTGTTCCTGCCTAAAACTTAAATTGTGGATGAATAAAGTTTATCTTATCTTGTCTTATCTTATCTTATCCTATCTTGTCTTAGCTATCTTAGTTTATTTTATCTCATCTTATCTCGTCCTACCTCACCTCTACTCATTGTATCTTATCTCATCTTATCTTATCCTATCTTATCAAAGTACAGCTGCGGACTGTCCCCAGACAAGTTTTCTATGTTTCAACCTCCTGGATAAGACTTGCATCATGAATAAATTGTGTCTGTGTTTCAGAAGAGACAGAGGCGGAGAGTTACGGAGCCCAAAGCAAAGCGTTCCTGTTCAAGCCTTATGTGGACAGTGATGATGAAGATGAGGCTGCCGGTAAGTGTCCTTGTTCCTAATGTGTCTTGCTGTTTTGTTCATAATGGAACCTTTTACTTATTAGTTTACCAGACAAGTAACCCTTTGGTTTCTGTATGACCACTATTTGAATTATGTATGGTGCGTAGCACAGGCTTGCAGACAACGTTAGTCATATTTTGTATCCAAAGCCAACAAAACAAGCAAGTGTGTGGCCTTTGTTTTCTATTGCAGTTAAGACCTCAAAATTTCCCAGCTTCATTGAAAAAAAATTTGACCAACTGGTCACACTATAATTTTTGTTATTAATGACGGTGATGGTATTAATACATTGCGTTTATATTAATGAAACATTGCATTTATAAAGAAATTATCCATGCTTTTCTCTTTACATTTTATTTTTTCCACAACAGGTCCTATAGTGTCTTGAGACATCAGTTTTCTGGGAAGCGTAGTAAAGTGTATTCTGCTATTTTTATATCCACTCAAACCCTAACATATATGCTAAAGTCTTTCACTCTTTGGTGGGTGAGCCCACCCATTTTTACCTCGGTGAAGTGAGGAACATTTTTCTCAAGCCCAGACGGGGAATCGAACTCTGGATCCCTGACCTCTGAACTGCTGCCACCTCGTACAGTGGAAGCTGCTATAATGGTCACCTGTACAAATGATCACTTCCTGCTTCCCCCTTTTGGGTTTTTCTATGTTATGATGACAATGTCCAGGGCGTCCACCTGACTAAGACAACCTCTTAAGTGGGTGGTTGGCAGTTAAGTGGGTGGTTGGCAGGTGCTCTGGTGTGGTCTGCTCCTTCTTTCGTATCAAACATCTGTCATCCTTATCTCTCCTCCTCCTTTTTTTTGTGTTTGTTACTCTCTTGTAAAACCTCTTATCTTCGGCACTTATATTAGCTTTTTGTGTTGCAAGTGCCGTAAAACTCTTACTAATAAAAATACTTCCACTTTTCTCCTAGACATTGACGATCATCTGGGACAATTTTGAGTGGGTTTTTTTTTTTGTTAGATTTTTTTTGTTGAAATTTTTCTATCTTGAATATTTCTATATTGGATACAGGAGTATGGTATCGACATGATGTTTGTGTAGTCGAAAATTTTTTACCCTCCCCAAAATGCCACCATCTATTTCACAGTGATTGAGTGTCAGTGGGGAAAGTCCGCGTCCGACTCAGAGGAGCGGAACTCGTACGAGAGCGAATCGGAGAGTGAGGAAGAAGAGGAGGACAGCGAGGGTGAGGCCATGGGTGACTTTGATGCTGACTCGGAGGAGGAAGAGGATGTGGTGGACAGCGCCTTAGGCTTCAGCCCCAAGGCCTGCATGATGAGACGTAACACCGGTGAGTGAGTGCACCAGCATTGGGGATCGTAATTGCAAAAGTAGTGCAAGGAAGAAATTTTAATCACTCTCCCTAGTAAGAATCTATACGTTGTTTTTGTATGGGGGGGGGGTTCAATTTTACTTTCTTCTTAGCAGAAAAGAACTATTTTGGCCTTCAGAATTTTGTGTGTGATTTGAGTATATGAACCACAGAGTTCTTTTTTGTAATTTCATCTTTCCATATGAGGGGAAATACAAGAGGGGGGGGGGGAGATTATGAGACTAAAAGTACCTACTCAGCCTGAAGTCTTTTGAGCAGGTTTCCCAGGGTTAATCGCTAGGGAAACAGAACACGTTGATTTATGATGTGACTCCATAAAAATTCAATTGGAAGAAAGCTGAATTTCCCCTCTGGTTTGTGTACAGATTTCTACCAGGAGCTTGTGGACACCATCGTACGAGGCCACACGGAGAAGATCACGGACGACAATCTCATTCTGGAGATAAACTCTCTCAAGTGAGTGAACAGCGCGATGTCATTGTTTGTTTGGGAGAGGAGAAGGAGGGACTGGTCAAGGAAAATCTTGTGAAGTCATGTGACATCTTATCACTTTAGCTTTTATTTGGGACAAATGATTTTGGTCAAGTGCAGGGGCATGGTGGCCTGGTCACAGAAGGAAACTTCTTTTCAGCAAGCTGTTCAGATGTACTGTGCCCAAAATTGTGAATGTTTATTTAAATTGCCGCTTTGTAATCTGTAACATCGGTTGCAAAGAAACGCTTTGTCAAAATTCAAATTCTAACTGTTGAAATAGGTCAGAAAAGATACAGAATGTAGGTAAAAGTGTAAAAAGAGTGAAAGTTTTGTTGTAGTTTTTAAATATTTTTTTTTTTCTCTCTCCTGAAAAATGTTGCTTTTTGGATTGAACATTTGAACAGCTGGCTGGCATAGAATACCCCCGAGGCGGTGCCACTGACTGCAGTGTCTTTAGGCCATTCCCAAAGGGGGACATTTCTCGTTCAAGCACAGTACTATTGTAAATGGGCTGATTCATGTCTTCCTCATAACTGTGCCTGATCTACAACAGGGAACTACTGCTTTTTCTTTCCTAATCCTTACTATTGTCATTTTCCTCTACTCCTTTTGTATGTTTGTCACTCTTTTGTGACCTGCTATTTCCGGGGTGCCTTGATAGTCGAAGCAGACCTTGTGCTGTTGAAGCTAGAGAGGTGAGCAGAGTAAGTCTGATTCCTTGTAAGGGCTTCTTTGTTGACCCCTACCCCTTGGCGATCATATGACCTTATGCAGTTGCGAGCGCCGTAAAACCCTCTACTATAACTAAACTGACTTAGAATACTACAGATTGAATGCATTTTTCAAAATCAATTTATTGAGGGAATGCGTGTTCTTCACTGCAACACTGAATACCCATCTTCAAGTTGACGTGGTTGTGACAGCTTCATATGGCCTCACATTATAAAAAGATTAATACTTGAAAGAAAGACAAAACACAGCCGCTCTCTTGCCTACCTGCCGGTGAACTGATTTTATTGGTGTTTAGTTTACACTGAAGTCTCGTCGTGTGAATCCCAAAACGAGACAAAAATGTGACGTATCAAGAAGGGGAAATAAATGTGATATTAAAGAATCATTATTTCAACTTTCGCAAAATAGTTCCTTCCCATTGTTACATTTCATACATCAGACATACATTGCAATGGAAAACTGTAATGATCTAACCGACAAGTGAAGGTACTGTGAAGCAATGTGAGGCTTCCATCTTTGGGAACACTTGACTTTGAGCTCAAACTTATTTTTATATTTCACTTACACCTACCCCTGCCATACTTTGTCTTTCTTTTCAGACATGCGTATACGGTACCGATCGACGAGGTCATTGCCAGTTTGCCGTGTGCCATGTTTGAAATGGGGGCCTCTCTGAACAATGCCAAGGTCACTGCAGACTCGAAGCTGTTTGTGTTGTTCAAGAAGGTGAGAAGAGTGGACCTGAACCTAGATATTGGTCCGTGTGTGTTGTTTGATGTTGCGTATGTATGACGGTAGAACAGTTAGTCAGTGACGGGCTGCTGTCTCCTTTTCTTCTATGTCAGTTTTATTCTTGTTCTTCTTTCCTGTAAAACATCTATCATCCTTATATCTGTCCTCCTTCTTTTCCTGTGGGTGGTTTTCTTCTTCTTTCCTGTCAAACATTTATCGTCCTCATCTCACCTCCTTCTTTTTTATGTTTGCTACTCTCTTGTAACACCTCTAATCTTCTGGCGCTCTTATGACCTTATGCAGCTGCGAGCACCGTAAAACCTCTACTAAAACAAACAAAACTTCTTTTCCTTGTATGTTACTCTCTAGTGTCATCTCGAATCTCCAGCATTTATATATGCCTATTTTTGATGCAAGTGCCTGAAAACTCTTACTGAAACTAAAATTTGTGAGACAGCGTGGTGGAATCAGGCTCTCGTCAATTTTTGGGCATGTAGGGTTATTGATACCATTTTAAAGCTTGTTAACTTATCTTTATTTGGATTTTTAAAATATCCATTTATTTTTAATACAAGTCGAGATATTTGCGAAAGAAAGGGGTGGGGGGTCACCTGTTTTCAGAGGTAAAATTAGTGAGAAAATGGCCACCAAAGATCAGTTATTTCCTTAGCGGAAGAGTCCGTGGCAACTGAAAATTTACATTTTTTTGTGCCTTTAATCAACGTTTTTCTGGAAAAAAACACACAGAAATGAGTTCTTCAATGGCCATGAAAGGTGTTGAGCCAAAAAACAAAAAATTGGTAAAAATTCACAAACTTGCGGGAAAATGCAAGTTTCTTCACTTTGAGTATTTTGACGAGAGCCTGATTCCACCACACTGCCTCACATTTGTGTACTTATCTCTTCATGGCAAAATATAGTACACTCCAACCTACCAGTAACAACAACAAAACGTTTCTGAAAATTTCCCAGTATGGGCAGTAGTTTTCTCAAAATATAATGCTATAATTTACGGAAATATGACTGAAATGTTTTTGAAAGTTTCTTTTATATCCTGAAGACCTAGAAAGTCCCCCTGGGGCAGTGCCACTGACTGTAGTGTCTTTAGGCCATTTCCAAAGGGGGGGACATTTCTCGTTCAAGCACAGTAGAATTGTAAATGGGCTGATTCATGTCACGTTCATAACTGTGCCTGATCTGCAACAGGGAAAAGCTGCTTTTTCTTTCCTAATCCCTACTATTGTCATTTTCCCTCTACTTCTTTTGTATGTTTGTCACTCTCTTGTGACCTGCTGTTTTTGGGGTGCCTTGATAGTCGAAGCAGACCTTGTTCTGTTGAAGCTAGAGAGATGAGCAGAATAAGTTTGATTCCCTGTAAGGACTTCTCTGTTGACATCCACCCCTTGGCGCTCATATGACCTTATGCAGTTGCGAGCGCCGTAAAACCCTCTACTATAAAAAAATATGTATATAAAAAACTACCAGTAACAACAACGAAATGTTTCTGAAAATTTCCCAGTTTGGGCAGTAGTTTTCTCAAAATATAATGGTATAATTTTCCAAAATCTGACAAATTTTTTTTTAAGTTTCTTTGCTTCCTGAAGACCAAAAAAGTGACCTTTTGGATTAGGATGTTGATAAGATAAGAAACCCAGATCTAGATGTAGACTTAAATCACGGTGAACCGGGTGAACGGAGTAAAACTTCATCAAAAACCTTTCCCATGCATCATCAGCCAACTTTTCAAGTCAGTTTCTCCCTGTCTTTTTTTTTTATTGCAGTGTAGTACGCTCAAACAATCCCTGATTTTAAATTTTTTCTACTTCTATTTGAACAACCTCTCCTATCTATCTAAACCAAATAAAATCTGTTTGCTATGTGCATGCAAAACTGTACCTCTCTTCTCCGTTCATGACGTAAGCTCGTTACAGCAGTCGTGTATTTCCCACGGTTTAGACGTTAGTTACAGGCAGTAAAAGTACAGTTTGTCTGTTTTGGATGTTTCACCTTCATGACGCCTTATATGATGTGATTTTGGCCAATGGCCTTATGGCGCTCATATGACCTTATGCAGTTGCGAGCGCCGTAAAACCCTCTACTATAATAAAAAAAATAATGGCCTTAAACTCTGAATAAACTTACTTACTTACTTACTAGTCTATGCCGTTTTCTCCCCACAGAACGTCGAGCGTTACGCCCCTCTACTCTCCAAGTACATCAAAAATGCCGAGACGCAGCTCGTGGCTATTAATGGACTCGGGGTAAGTATCTCTGACCCTCGTATGTTTTTCTTTTCAGTTTTCTCTGTCTTTGCAATAATTTTTATTTTTGTTTTTTTTTATACGCCTCAAGTACAATATTTTTTTTCAATACTTCTGTCTGTACAATAATTTTCATAATTTCTACATATGTGGTAATTTTTATTTAAATTAATACTGTCTGTCTGTACAATAATTTTCCTTCTTGCGATTAATCCATCCAGGGATTTTTTGTTCCATGTAGGTGGACAGCTGGCAGGTGCTCTTTTGTGGTTTGCTCCTTTCCTGATCCAACATCCATCATCTTTATCTTTCCTCCTTCTTTTGTATGTTACTCATTTGTAACACCTCTAATCTTCAGCACTTATTTGACCTAATTGTGTTGCAAGCGTTGTAAAACTCTTACTAAAACTTAACATGCCGTATCATCTGACGGGGCTACCTACAGCCAGAATTTGGAGAACAGAAAATTGAGTCCAATATCTGTCAGTAGGTATGTGTGATATATTGTGTTTGTCTTTTTATGAATAAAGTGCCCTTTATTGAAACAGATTAGTACCTTCTCACCGTAAAAAGTCATAGTGAGGAGTTTATGTCCAAAATGGTTCATCAAGATTTGGTCCATTTCTTTATTTAACAGTCTAGCATGCACATAGAAAAACACTCACATGGCAAACTTCTTCTTCTTCCTTGTTCTCGATGACAGTAGCTAGACAGTCAGTCAGATGTCGCACACTAACTGTGCAGTGCGCTTCAAATCTGAGAGACTGCCATAGAGCTTTCTTTCAAGGGGAGTCACATTCTGACATGGCGAACAATTCTTCAGGTCCCCAAATTTTTTCTAATATATATATATATATTTTCTTTGTATTCAAAATGTTTTATGGCAATATTTGTACATAACAAAAAGATTTCCATGTCCCGCCAATTTCTGTTTGTGCGCTGCTTCCCCTGTGAGATAATGATGTGATAAAAAAACTTTTATTCCTCTCCCCAGGACTTTGTGATACGCAACAGTGAACTCCGACCCAAGCTCCCACAGCTGATCAACTTCCTGTACGACGCGGATGTCCTGTCTGAGGGCTCCATACTGTCCTGGTTCAACTCGAACCGCTTCCAACCCGGCTCCAACGATGCTCTCCGGCACGAGTTTCTCAAGAAGTTGGTGAGTAGCTGACTTTTGCCTCTACCTCAAACTCTTCTTCCTAAATAATAAATCTAGGTAGCGTAAACACGGCCTCGCGGGCACTCGCGACCTTCCGACCGCGTGGTATCGGTAAAATCGGGTTAATTCCGATCGCTGTTTCTTTGCTCTTTCGCTATAAAACACCAAATGCCGTACACTTTGTAAAAGTTCAGCTTTTCCTCGTTACAATGGTGTAAGTTGTTTATATGTCCGATTATTAGGAGCTGGAAAATCGCCGACGAAAGCTAAGCCCTTCGCGGTCGGAATGCGAGGTCGGCCGGTTGAAAAATTGACACGCATGCATTCAAATGCTTAGCGGAACGAGGGATGATTAAATACCGTCTTTTCATTGGCGGAGAACTGTAGAGCTTTAAACGGGCTTTCCCGTGATATAAGTTTAGCCTTTGGCGTCTTTATAGAAAGCTTTTAAAAATACCGTCAAAATGTTTAAAGATCACTTTTTACATAAAATATGTAAAATACCGGCTTATAAAAAGTATTAATTAAAAGATCAGTTCATTTTCTTTTAGAATAAAGTAATTAATTTGGAATTATTTTACATCAATCCTTCCGCGAGACTCAGAAATCATGTGACCCCGCACGCGGGGTACACTACAGTATAAGCCGACTCGCTCGCCGCGGGGGCCGGTGCGGCGCCGACCGGGTCAACGCTCGGTGTTTTTGTCGAAATAACGACAGATCATCGTGTTTGAAGTGATAAAATACTAATTTGTAAAGATCTCACAGTCTTGAAAAAAATTAGTCTCCATATATTTGTTATAGTGATTGTACTCTGTTAATATGGAGATGTTTAGTGCACTTGGTACTTTTTTATTGTCTGTCGAACATGGGGTTGCAGCCAGTGACTGACTTTAACAAATTTGATCAAATTTTAAACAACTACAATTTTCTTAAAAATTGACGGAGAGGTTAAAGAATGGTACCAAAATGCTCAGTGGATATAGGCCTTTCAAATGGAACAGATAAATTTGGCATACAGTTAGTTTGAAAATTTAGTTTCTGGTACCTAATAAATCTACTTCATTATAAACTGTGTTCCTCAATGAAAAATTAAGGGAGCATAAAAGATTTTTCTTTTACGGAAGTGAATTGTGTGAAAATAAGAGTCTCAACATTGTCACAAAATGTTATGTTTCTGTACTTGTTTAGAAAAACATTTTACTTGCTGCAAATGTTCTTTTTTTAAAACATTTTATGCATTGAAGACAGAACAAAATTATGAAGTTTTAGATGGTATTTTTTTTATAGTTTTGACTAGTTCAAAAGCACAGTGAAGACTACGGTATATTTTTATTTGTTTTTGCTTGTCCTGAGTTTGACTAATTAAGTTTTCTATGGGACAAAGGTGGGAAGTGGGTGGTTGGCAAGTGCTCTGATTTGGTTTGCTTCTTCTTTCCTATCACACGTCTAACGTCCTTCTCTCCCCTTCGTCTTTTTTGTGTTTGTTACTCTCTAGTAACAAGTAACACCTCTAATCTTCGGCACTTATATTATGACCTTATTGTGTTGCAAGTGCCGTAAAACTTTTACTAAAACTAAAAGGTGGGAAAGGGCGTTCGGGGGGGTGGGGGGGGGGGGGAGGCATGTACCCGGATAACAGACATGCACAGAAAAGTAGGGGCAGGGGAAATTCACTTTACTTAAACCTCTCTGTTCTTATTTAATGTGTTTCTAATGATTACTCCGTCTTTTCTAATGATTACTCCGTCTTTTCTAATGATTACTCCGTCTGTGTGTCCCCAACCAGGTCCAACCCCTGGTGAAGTGGCTGCAAGAAGCAGAGGAAGAGTCAAGTGAAGAGGATGATGATGATGATGACGATGAGTGATAGTTTGAAATAATTTAGGAAAGCTTTGAATGTTGAAGTTAAAGCAAATTGTTCAGTTTTGTGAGATTTGTTTTGATTTTTTGTCTGGCTGAAGGAAGAAAGTGAAAATAAAAGCGTAAACTTCTCCTGTGTCTCTTTGTTATTCAGTTTTAGTGTTGTATTTTCAAGGCATGAGGTGGCTGGTGAGCTCTCTTGTACAGACTGCCTGTTCTACTTTTTCCTCAGTGTTATTATGGCTCTTTTTTCGTTTCCCGACGAAATATGACAGGCATCTATCTGACATACTCGCCATAAACTGCAAGTCAGCGAGTTTTTTTTACCTGAATGTGATTGATTGGCTGTCTGGTTCAGTCTGCCCTTTCTGTTTCTTCTCAGGGGCACTATTATAGCCGTGTGAAACAAATGTGAATCCTTGTTTTTCCCCAGCACACGCAATCATTAAGTTCACAAGTAGAAGTTTTTCATGTTTGCTGCTGTTGAAAAGGAGATTAGGATTTTCTTGTATAAGTTCAAGGTTCAAGTCCAATTGGGTTTCGAATTATGATTTTTTGACCTTCAGGGAGCTTTTCCTCTTGCTGTCACTCCAGTGTCCTACCAGGGGACAAAGTGCTCTAGCTTTGACTTTTAGGTCAGTTGTGATGTTCAGCTTGCACAGTACATGTATTACAAACAAGGAAACGCAGTCTAGAACATACAAAGCAAAACATACGTAAACTTAACGGATTTTCAGATCCGGATTTTTTGCTTGTACTTTAGACTATATTTTTTGTATTTAATACACATACAGAGCAAACTTGGTACATAATGAAATGAATTACGTGACCCAGTGATTTTGCTATGTGCGTGCTAGACTGTAATTTGTTTGTTTGTGTGGGTACAAAACAAGAACAGAAACGCAACAACAAAAAATCGACTGTAAAAAACAGTAGGCTTAAACATTCACTAAAATAAAGTTTCATTTTATTCAATACACGACGCACTCATATTAACATACAAAAACCAGAGTAAAATAATAAATATTATATGTACTTTTTGTAGGCCTTATTGTAGCACAAACTCAATTTGCATAGATTCTCCTTATTATACACTGTAACATACTGTCAGAGAGTTGTAAAAATGTACCATTCCCAACATTTTGAAAAATGTTTTAATTTCAGTTTCTGAACCTGTAGTATTAGTTGCATGTGCTCTGTAAATATTTTGTGGAAATCCAAATTCTAAATATTGAACAAAGCAAGAAGAAATACCATACATAATAATGAAGGTATTTATCATAAAAAGAATTAAGAAATGTGTTCTTTCCCTTGTAAAATGTTGCTTGCATAGTGCAGTTTAACAGCTTGCTGACGATACACAAAATCCTAAAGTTTGATTGATGTCATGCAAATGAGCCCCCATTTGGCATAATTGAAAACGGCTTCTGTTAACTGGTCACTCGGTGAAATCGTCATATTATATACTTCCGGTGATCTCGTCACACACTTTGACTTTTGAAAAACGTGTGGCTAGTTCACCGTGGATTGGCAGACAAACCCACACACACTCCCCCTCTCTCTCTCCCTCTCATATATCTCTCTCTCTCACACACACACACATAATATAATATATACATGTATATATATATATATATATAC